TAATTTTTATGTGCAATTTATTCTGGTGTGCTTTGGGTTTATTTACTGCTATGGTTTTGGACCTGGTGGGGGAACAGTTTTTCTCATTAGGCACCAAGCACTTTCCTAACCACATAATTCACCAAATTAACCCATACTAGTTGAGCACTCACTATAATTTTGTAAGCAAATATGGTCTCAAAGCAACGTAGGCCCAGCAAACTGAAATAGGAAAGTCCTATATTTGACCCTGCAATTTACAAACCCCCCAAAACTGCACTGGAGGGTACTGTTTTACTTGTGAATCATCGCTGAACCCAAATATTAGTGTTTTCGAGCAGTAAAACATAAAATGACAATTATATCATCAGTGAAAGTTCTGTTTTTTGTGACTAAGTGGCTACTAAAAAAGATTGGACATATCCCATTTTGAATACCCTGGGTTGTCTACTTTGCAAATGGTATGCCATGATGGAGGTAATTCTCATTCCTGGGCTGCTATACTGGCTCAAAGACAACAATGACCATTTTGGAAAATTTTAATGTGTAAAAAATTAAATGGGCAAGCCCTATATTTGGCCCTGTAACTTTCCAAAACCCCATAAAACCTGTACATGCGGGATACTGTTTTACTTGTGAGACATTGCTGAGCACAAATATGACTGTTTTAGAACAGTAAAATGTATAACAACGATATCATCAATGAAAATGCTGGGGTTGTGTGAAAAATGAAATAAACAAATATGAATTATAACTTTGACCAGTGTTTGTGACTACTAAAAAAAAAAAACAACTGGACATACCCCATTTTGAATACCCGGTGTTGTCTACTTTTGCAAATGGTATGCCATGATGGGGTTATTTTTCATTTCTGGTCTGCCATATGGTCTCAAATGCAACATAGGCCCAGCAAACTAAACTGCCAAATTTAAATGTGTAAAAACTGAAAAAGGGAAAGCCCTATATCTAACTTTCCAAAACACCATAAAACCTGTACATGTTGTACTCGTGAGACATCGCTGAACACAAATATGTGTAATTTACTGCAGTAAAATCTAACAGCATTATGACATTCACAGTTACACTGCCATGCAGAACTTGAAAAACTAAATTTCTTGATTTTATTCATATTAAATTATAATCACATATAGAACGATTTGGTATGAAATTAAAGCCCTGTTTCTCCTGAGCAAAATGATGTAATGATGTACAAAATAAGTGTGGATGCACTGACTATGAAAGAGGGAAATTAAGGTTCAATGTACTTATAGCTATTTCTAGGTTTTGTTTTGATCAGAACTTGTATAATTGCTGAGGGGGTTAAATTATATGTTTGCTGGACAGATCACTGTCCAACCCCTGCCCCCACCCATAGCCAGCAGGTGAGGGCTTTAAAATTAAAAAAGGGGAGGGGGGGAGGCATCCTAGTGTAAGGGCTGTGGGTGGGGGCTTGATGAAAAAATAAAACAAAATGTGTGAGCCCCTTAAAGGTTCTGCACTGAATGAGGTTTCAAATTGGAAAAAGTCTTTCTCATGCTTCGAAATCTCAGAGTGCTCTGACTGGTTGGCTAGTAAGCAGAGGAGTAACTAGAAACCATGGGTCCCCGGTGCAAAAGTTGCCCTGGGGCCCCCCCATTCCCCCATACATCTATACTCCCACACGTTCCCCCCCACCCCCGCATCCCTCTATCATACGCAGCCGTGGGGATTCTACCGTGCGGGCCGGGCACCCGGTAACAGGGGTCCGCAGGGCGGCCGGGCCCCCTGGAGTGGCGGGCCCGGTCGAAGCTGTGACCCCTGCGACCGCGGTAGTTCCGCCAGTGCTAGTAAGCCAACCAACCACTTTGCTCTCACAGGCAAGGTCTCAAGAGACTATTTTCATAGCAAATCTCAAAAGTAGTGAGACTTGTCTATTAGAGTACACAGATTGGTTTGTTTACAATTAAGAAAAAAACTTGAAAGCTCATGCTGCGTGGAAGCCTCATGGCCACAATTTTTCTTGTGATGCAGTTTTAATTTTTTCTTTGGGTTTTTTTATGCCACATGAATGACCCTTGGGCACCTGACGCTTTTTGTTTTTTTTAACTATTTGCCTACTGGTTGCTAATGCTGTCATCAGGCAAATAGTACTTCAAATTATCATCTGCGTGCAAAAAACAAGTGAAACATATATTTGCAAATGTGCATCCTGTTGGATGCAACCAAACCCAAATTCAGTTTAAATGCATGCTTTGCACGTATCCAGAATACTCTACTTTGTATAAAGTTCAGATGTGACCGGAAATGATGTTAGTAAATATGAGAGTTGCCATTCCAGTCGGAACTTTTCACAGAAATTTGCCCATCTGGATAAAATCTGGTGTTCAGTGAAAAATCCTGGATATGGATCTGCTGTTTCTTTTATGCTCTCATATATGTATATCACATCTCACTCCTCTCATACTACTTATCTGCCTTGATCTTTAGCTATTTCCCCTGACCTCTCCCTCCTCTATCAATGTGACATGAACTCTCCCTCTTCTTCAATCTGTTTTAATTGGTTTGATGTCACAACCTGGTAGTGGCACTGGTCAGAGGAGAACTTTTGATTTTTTTCTCAACCCTACGTAACTTGCACTCATTGAACTTGTACTCCAGGCTGTAAGGAAGAATAATCTTACAGCTTTTTAAAAATGTTTTTTCCTTGCTAACTATACATGATAAGTGAGGACAAAGGAAGCCAGTCTAGTATCCACTCCCAGTTCTTAGATATTTATGAAGCTACATTGACAAAGTATTTTTTTTTATTTCCATTGGAAATATAGAAGGTCTTATTTCCTACTCAAAGTAAAGCAAAACAAATATAGATAAAGTTATAGAGGCTTCAGTTCAGAGTATTTGTTAAGTATCTGTCCTCCCACTACCTCAAGAAGAAAAAAAAAAGTATGAACACATTCTTTGACACCCACACACACACATAATTTTAATTTTTGCTTTAATAATAAGGTCAACCGATCCTCAGATATTTGTTTTACCTTAGATGAGAGAGCATGACTGTATCCTTATCCCTGGAGTCTAATGGAGAGTTGCTGGGATCTCTGCACACTGACATACACACATAGTACAGATGCCAAGTTTGGAGTGACGTCATCTTCTGTCTCCTAACATCACTACAGAGTGCACAAAGAGCTCAACAGTCAGGGCTCAGTGCCAGCACTTCAAATGGGCATGGTAGGAAGCGCCTAACTAGAAATCTGGCCATAGTTCAGAATTTGGATATTTTATGCAGATGACAGCAAGGCTTGAGATATTTGCCGAACGGTAGTCTGAGATGAATTGAAAACGGAAAATAGCAGACTTATAGAATATTTTGACTCTCCACTGAACTATGGATGATTTCCTCTGTCAATTCATCCCAATTTGTTGTGTATATGAACATAAATCTCCTGTGAATTTTAACGAATATTGAGCTTTTACTCTGTCCTGAAAGCTTTGGCAGCGTTTGCTGCAGAAAATTTGACCTTTAACCCCCCAAGGATTCATTCATTAAAATTCATCCACTTTATAGTGAATTATAAGGAATTAACAAAAATTCAGACATGTTCTGATTCTGCAGCCCAGCTGAAGTGAAATTGGATTATTTACTTAACTGTGGTTTATTGTGAATTCAAAGTAAATTTCAAATGTGAGGCTAAAATATCCATACTGAATAAATAGTTTGGCTATACTGCCCTAATATTTCCAATACAATTTGAAATTATTGTGAATTCATAACAATTCTTAATATAGTGACATGTTTACTAAACAGGGGATTGTAGTAAATTGAAAATTCAATTGCAAAATTTAGACTGAATTGGCCCCAATTGGCACAGTCATTTTGCAATTACATTATAATTAACTACAATTTGCTGTATAGTAAATACACCCCTTAGCAATTAATCTGGCCAAAAAAGCTATTTTTTCTGTCTTTGCAATATGGTGTTTAAATCACCACAATTTACTGTGTATGAAACAAGCTCTAGTGAATTGTGACCAAGGATAAAATAGTCAAGATGTGACTAGCTAATTTGCATTTTGTTTTCTAAATCAGCTATAAATCACTTCTAACATTCTAATACACTGTATTTTAGTTTGTCAGATCCACCATGTTTTCCTGGATTCATATCACTTATCAATTGATGGGCTGCACATAAAATGTGTTGCCCTGTGGTATGTAGCACGCATAATATGCTGCAGTTAACAAACCATTTAGGAATAAGCAAAACATTCTATGCACTGGGAGAAATGTTTCATGGGCTGCCCGCAAAAAAATCCTGTTTGTGCAAATATTTTATTTATTCTGAGCCATATATTTTTCTGTTTGAGCCCTTTTTAGCAGTTTTGCCTCTTTTTGTTGGCTCAGTCAACCTATATAGAGGTGCAATAGCGTAAATTTGTTTTTGTTTTTTTAAACAAAATTTTACTTCAAACCTTCAAAAGTCAGAGTGACAGATTTTCTGAAACATCTATTATTCTTTCAGAAATAAATACCCTCCAAATTCCAAATGCATTCCCCCCCTCTCTCCCCCCCCCCCTTTTATGGTAATCATTTGCCTTATTTTGTGCATGTAATTGAAGTAAAAATAATCAGTGGGAAAAAGGGTCAGAATGACAGATTATTTTGTCACATTAACAAAACAAAGTAAAAACAAAAAGGGGGGGGGGGTAGCAATATATAAAAGTGTAAGAAGTTTTATATTTACAAAAGAAAATGTGTGTAAAGGAAAACGTGGTGAATACAGCAACCCTATGTACCCTAGTCTACTGAAAAGTGAATTCTTATTTGAAATAGAAATTATAAATTTTACGGCAAAATGGCTGACTTATTAAAATATTTTAGTAAATGAACTACGTGTTAAATTTTGCCATTCCCACAAACAATATGTCAAGTTGACCACTAGCGCACATACAATAAAATGTAAAGCTTGTGAAGATGCCATTCTGTTTTATTATGCAACATAGTATTCACTAAGCTAAGAATAGCTGTGAATGTATTACACATGGGCCACAATAGCCAAATTAGAATAATTGCCTGAGTCAATTCAGTTTCACCTTGAGTAGTTTGGTCTTAAATTTGAAATACGCCTTAAATTTCCAGGAATACTCACCTTAGTAAATAACCCTGCACATCAAAAGTTTTGAAAGGAAGGCAAATGAATTGCAATGTTAAGTCCATTGTAGTCAGATGGGGAAATTTTCCATTTGTGCTGATTTAGCCCAAAATTTGCAACTGTATAGCATGTGCGCTGCTCTAGACGATCATGTAAGGACTGGGGTGGAGCAATACCATCTGCCAATATAAAATGTTGGGAATAACGATTGCACAATGTGTTTTTTTGCATAACAAAGTATAGCCTTCCCCGTCACTTTAAATTGCTTAACTGATATCCACTGAAATAGCCACCATCGGAGAGGGCTTGACTACCGGCAAGATCGGCATCCAAACTTGAAAAACAAGTTAATGATGTCCTGGCCACACCCATCACAATAGGGCATAAAAACTGCTCCTCTTTAAATTGTTAAATACAGTATACCCGGTCACTGAAGAGTGCCGATCTCTGGAATTCGAACCTTGGGTTACATCGCGTTCGATCCTGCAGAATGGATCTAAGGACAGTGATTAACACAAACCGTAAGCATCTTCCCTTTATATTCAGGGCAGTTTGCGGTTTATAGTTTGATTTGTGTTTACTATGAATCTAATTCCTAGACCTTTTTTTGAGCTGCAGGTAGTAATGTATTAAATAGTGATCCATAAATTATATAAACCTGGAAGTAAAAAGGAAGTCCTGTAGAATGTAAAGTGGCAGTGTTTAGCTTTTTATTCCCGTTAGCAATAGTCTGTTCCTGTTTATCCAGGTAAACTCTTGGATGTTCCAACCAGATGTTAGAAGCTAATGTAGTTTCCAAGGTTCTTGGTTAGGAGGGGCTTAGGCTGACCACAACTCCCAGTAAGGTCTTCTTCTTAATGGTGTCTGTAACTTGCGCTTCCTATAACATCGGAGTAGCGTCCGAACTACTGAACGCTGAGGGTTCTCATTTAATTAGGGTGACTCCATGAGTGTGTGTAAGCAAGGACCAGGTCGGGCGCTGCGGGCTTGTAAAAGTGCAAACTGCCCCTTTCATGTTAGCAGCCTGGGAGGAAGTGAGAGCGTGTCACTTCCTCCCTAATAACAATCGCGCACGTGAGGGAGAGGAGGAGAAGGCAGAGAGAAGGGGGCGCAAACATCCAGAACCAGTCTTCCATTCCCAACATCATCAGCAATCAGAAACCACCATCCTGAACCCAAAATGTAGGGTGGCTAAAAAATGACCAGCATGTATATATCATTGTGTGTTTTTGTATGTATGTCGGTATATTTATATTTGTGGATCTTTGTAAGTGTCTATCTATCTGTATGTGTAAACACTCAAACTTAAAGGACAACTATAGGCATCCAGACCACTTCAGCTTAAAGGACCTCTATAGTGCCAGGAAAACAAACTCATCCAACTCCCGCCGGGCTGAAGGGGAGGAAAGGGGTTAAACACTTACCTTTCTCCAGCGCCGGGCTCCCTCGGCACTGGGGACTCTCCTCCCTCTTCCGATGTCACTTGCTGAATGCGCATGCGCGTGCATTCAGCCAGTCCATAGGAAAGCATTCTTAATGCTTTCCTATGGACGCTGGCGTCCACTGTGAAAATCACAATGAGAAGCGCCTCTAACGGCTGTCAATGAGACAGCCACTAGAGGCTGGATTAACCCATATGTAAACATAGCATATGTAACATATGTAACATATGTAACATGTTAATCCTAGATGGACCTGGCACCCAGACCACTTCATTGAGCCTATAGTGTTTCTTTAATGAAGTGGTCTGGGTGCCAGGTCCATCTAGGGTTAACCCTGCCTGCTGTAAACATAGCAGTTTCAGAGAAACTGCTATGTTTACATATGGGTTAATCCAGCCTCTAGTGGCTGTCTCATTGAGAGGCGCTTCTCACAGTGATTTCCTATGGAGAATGCTTTCCTATGGACTGACTGCGCGCGCAGCTCTTGCTGCGCATGCGCATTCAGCCGATGACGTCCAGAGGAGGAGAGTCCCCAGCGCAGAGGGAGCCCGACGCTGGAGAAAGGTAAGATTTTAACCCATTAGTCCTCCAGCCCTGGCGGGTTGGGGGCCATGAGGGTGCCTATTAATAGTATAGTGCCAGGAAAACAAAAATTTGTTTTCCTGGCACTATAGTGGTCCTTTAAGCTCTGCGCTCAAACTCCCACTACTCTTGGGTGGCAGCAATGATTGTAGTACACATCAGCCCCAATACATACAATAAAAACTAAAGAAAAGGTTACTTGTACACTCTTTCAAATCAATTTTTACATTTTAAATAACCAGAAATTTTTTTCGGTGTTGCTCAAATAACTTCCTGTTTAACCCCTTAAGGACACGTGACATGTCATGGTTCCCTTTTATTCCAGAAGTTTGGTCCTTAAGGGGTTAAATGTGCAGAGAGATTTGGGATAGTGCGCAAGTAGTTTATTTTTATTTTTTCTGATTTTATTTGTGTGTGTATCTTTGTGTTCATGTGCATATCTGCATGTATGTCATTGTGTCTGTATGTATGTCATTGTGTTTCAGTGTGAGTATATGTAACTGTGCATACATCTTGGCATTCAAATTCCAACACTACATACAAACACACCTCTGTATTAACCCCTTAAGGATGGAGTCAATTGTACACATTCTGATCAAAACAAAACCTGGAACTTTCACTATATGTCTGTTCAACCATAATTCACCTTTTTCATATTAAGTGCACCCACACTTATTGTAGATCATTTTGTTCAGGAGAAACTGGGCTTTCATTTCATAACAAATATTTATATATGAAACATAATTTAATATGAATAAAATTTTAAAAACTTTGAGGAATTAAGAAATGTTGTTTTTCAAGTTCTGCATGGCATTTTGACTGTGAATGTAATAATACTGTTTGCTTTTATTACAATAAAATACACATTTGTGTTCAGCTGTGTCTTACGAGTACAACAGTACCCACCCCATGTACAGGTAACTTAATTCTATGTGTACCTTACTGTGTGTGTATGCATATATGTGTGTGTGTATGTATGTATGTGTATATATATTATACACACTCTCTATGAGCGATCACCTGGCAGGCATAGCTGCTTGTGGATCTGCCTGCAAGGGAACCGCCTGGGCTTTAGGCAGTCCCCCTAATAGTGGAAAAAGACAAAAAAATATATAGACTCTGTCCTTAAGGGGTTAAACTAAGTATTTAGCTCACCAGCCACCATAAGATCGCTTTGAAAAGGTTTTAAACTTGCCTCTTCTCCCACACTGATCCCATCTCCATGAGATAATCAATCTGGATGATCTCATCCAATCCAATGCTTCCCCATAGGACTGTGTAAAACAGAGATAAGGTGCACTTCTAATGGCCCTCTGACAGCCACTAGAGGTGTTCTTTGGCAGCAGTGTATACAATGCCTTTTCTTGGAAAAGGCAGCGTTTACATTTAAAAAAACAACCTGCAGTCTGAACCATATGTCGCCTCAATGCAGCATTCATTACTTTCACCACGGTAATCTTATGACATCTTACATTTGAAATAAACCACCCTTGTGGCTTACATTAATCTAGGATTCACCCTGTATCAGCCCCCTAATCTCTCGTATTCAGCTGTTCTAGAAAATGCAATCATTGCAAAGGATACTTCTCTGAATCCACTGTCGTTTAAGGAGGTAAATCATGCCAGTGGAATCAGGTCCATCACTCTCTGCAGCATCCAATCGTGTTTACCAAAGCAACCCCCCCTTTTAAAAATTTTTTAATTTACTCTACATTACTTACAGAATGCTGGAAATAACCTGTTCATGTCACACACAATCAGAAATTTAATTATTCGGTACAGCATAATTTTCAATAATCACGATTAACTTGGCAGTCCCTCATACTAATGTATACCATTGTGTTTACAGAGCAAGGTAATTCGTCCTCCAAGAATGAAAATGGGTATTGCTTTACCAAGGACTTGAGGGATAAGCTTCTTGTGAGTATGCAGGACGAAGATTCTATGAGGAACTCAAAGTCTGTGTCAGACTTTTCAAGCTTGTATTCTTCAGGTATGAATAGTAAGCAAAGAGCATTTTACGAATCGGTAAATATTTACTGAGTAATTTGGAGCTTAACGTGACCAATAATTACTGTTACCAGGGTTGTAATGAGTATACTTTCTCAAGGTACTAGTTGTAATAGGCCCCAGGCTTTAAAAGAATGTTAGTCCTGAATGGGATCAGACTAGTCTCCTAGCATCTTCAGATCTTAATTACACAGTTCGTACACTCGAATATATAGATCATCATTCACATGCGGACCCTTTATTGTAACAGATTGAAAGAACTATTCAGCAAGTGTAAATGTGCAGATTAGTACATTACTGAGTGTACTTGACTGTCTATCTAGTCCATTAATATGCAAAAATGTTCACTTGCATGAAATATCAGTTAAGGAAACATATTTTTTTTTACCCTTTATACACAAATTTCAGGAGAACTAATAGAGATGCGTACCAGTGTGCACATGCTAATACTTTGCTTTTTTGTGTTTTACCCTCTGACTAATACACAATTTTAGTAGTAACCTAGAAAATAGGGCAGTCATTTTGTGAACTCCTCACACTGTCTTTTTCAGCTTTAATGTTTCATAACCACTTGTCTGTTCTGGAGGGCAGTTGTGACTAATGATTTTTTTTTTATTTTTTTCCTGTAATGTGTAGATATGGGGATTCTTATTTTATTAATTTATTACTCCTTCTTAATCATTGCGTATTTACAGATCTCTTCCCTGCAAGAAGTGGAGAGAAGCATACAGAACAATTTCTACTAGAGGTTTTTGAAATTCTCTTCAATTATATAAAGAAAACCTATGATGGTAAAAGTAAAGTTCTTGACTTTCATCATCCACATCAGATACTACAGGGTTTTGAAGGGTTCAATTTGGAATTGTCAGACCAGCCTGAGCCCCTGGAACAGATCCTTGTGGACTGCAGAGACACTCTGAAATATGGTGTAAAGACCGGTAATGTGTATTTTTATTTTTTTAACATTTTGTAACGACCTACTGAATTCCAGAGATTCAGTGGAATGGTCTGCACTACACTGCCGAAATTACAATAAATACATTAATATATATATTTATTGGATATACCCAAATGAGAAGATGCATGTATTTTATTATGCATTTACTTCCACTGCAGATGCAGTTAAAAGCTGCATATCTTTAGCTTCAGCGAGATAAAGTGCTTTAGGTCTTTGGGATGTTCCTTTAACTGTTCTGGATTGTGTTTGTGGGGTTGTGGTTCCCTATTCACCCCCACCCAGGTCACAATAGTTGTAATTCTTATCACTATTGTCTTGATGTATGTCAGAGGTCCTTATGTGTACTGTAAATACTTGTGTAATCTTTCCTGCAGCACATTTGTTACAACAATATAATTGTATTTAACATGGATATAACTGCTTGATGTGAACTTGGGAACATGTTTAAGAAGCTAGTTGTTAAATCATGATCTAGCTCAGCATTAGGCAACCTTTGACATTAGTGTTATTGTAGACTCCATGGCTGCACGAAGTGGCTTGTAGAGGATTAAGACTTAAAAAAGAAACACTGAAGCATAGTTTTATAATATAATCATATTGTATACTTCTATTTCTTTTTAGCACATCCTCGGTTTTTCAACCAGCTATCCAGTGGACTTGACATTGTTGGCCTGGCTGGTGAATGGCTGACTGCTACTGCCAACACAAACATGTATGTACTGTCAACAATCATGTTACATGTAATATAAATCATTAGTCACAGTTTGTGGGTGCCTGGTCCCTTCTGTGAATTTACTGTGCTCTTGACTGTGGCTCTGGGTGAGCTAAATGAACAGTGTGACCTTATCTGCCTGGGAAATGTTAGCCATATATGAGACCGTGGATAGTACATTAAAAAGCATGCTTTACAACTATCTCCTGTAAATATTTGTAGGCCGTGCATGCATTGTTACAATATACAGATGATCCTGCTGTAACTGGCAAGAGTCTGAATTGAACAGAAAACTGTAGATGGTAAGTCTCCAGTGGGCATACAGGAATGTTTGCGCACGTTGTTCACCATAAAAAGTGCAAACATCGAATAGAGCTAATCTGCATAAACACCCATATTGAAAAACCATGTGACTATGAATGGTAAATTTTAATATTTTGACTGAAATCTTTATGTAACTCTTTTTAAAGCCTTTAGAGTCAGCAAATTAGTTTCTTGTATTGAGATATATAATTTTAAAAAAAAAATTTAATAACACTTGCAGTGAACACTCAAAATTATTTAAATTTGCTGGAAATATCCAGATTATGAGTGCATTGCACATGCAGCCACCAACATTACCTTGTATAGAATGGTGATTGTATACCGATGTGTGGGTAGCGGCAGCAGCTAAGTAAATCTTCCTGAAAAGTAGAACATGGGGTCGCAATGTGTGTAACCACATTTAGTCAAACTATGATTACTTTATCTAGGTTCACTTATGAGATTTCTCCGGTATTTATTATTATGGAAGAAATTGTCCTAAAGAAGATGTTTGAAATTGTCGGTTGGAAGGAAAATGAAGGGGATGGAATCTTCTCTCCTGGTATGTTTGTCGTTTTGCGTGTGTGTTTCCCTCCTCCCCACCCCCAAAAAATAAGCTTTTGTTCTACAAACCTGCCTCTTCCAGTTATGTTGACTTTTTTTTTTTTCTTCCTCTCCTCTTACAGGTGGAACCATTTCAAACTTGTACAGTATTCTTGTGGCACGATATAAATATTTCCCCATTGTAAAAACCAAAGGAATGGCAGCTCTACCCCCGATTGTTCTTTTTACATCAGAACATGTATGTATATATCCATAGACTGTTTGATTTTTGCATACGTCATATAAAGCAAACAATTTGTTTCTAAAGTCTTAAATATTAAGTGGCTTTCTGTATATAGTTGGTAGACTGTACTGGGGGGGGGGGAGAAAACTTTTTGTGTTTGCAACAAGTTGCAAAGAAAGGGTGGAAGATTAGGTGGAGCATATTAAATCATATGAACATGCTATGTTGTATGTATGGTTCCTGCCCAAAAGCCACATGGCCAGGAAGAGGGTAACAATTTTTTTTTTATTTTATTTTTTTTATTTTAACAAGATCTCAATTTAACTGTTTCAAGGGATAGGTGATTGTTGGATAGACGGAGTATTGGAGTACATATTCTTACAGCGAACTAGTGCATTCTACATGCAAAATGCTATATATATTTTGTGGCTTTACACAATCACAAACCAAAAGTGGCTGTCTAATACCACAATTTAATTAGAACAATATTACAAATCTAAATAATTGGCTGTATTGATTCATCTAAACATGCAATCAGAGCAACCTCCTTGTTTTAGAAAAAGGCACCTCAGAATGAAGATAACATTATACAAAATTATCTGGGGCCAATATTTGGCGCAGCCCTTCCATATCTTTTTGCCAATACAAACCATTGTCTGGAAATCTAGTCACAAACCGGACTATACATGGGACACAAGGGCACACATTTAGATTGGAAGAAAGAAGATTTAGCCTAAGGCAAAGAAATGGGGTGGGTGGGTGTGTGTGTGTGTGTGTGTTTTTTTTTTTTTTTTTGTTTTTTTTAAACCGTTAGAACAATAGGGATGTGGAATTCTCCACCTGAAGATGTTGTTTTATCAGAGTCTGTACAGATGTTTGAGTAGCAACTGGATGCATACTTGCAAAAACCTAACATTCATTGATTATAATTTTTAAATTGTGGGGTAATGGCTTCTTGATCCAAGGATAAATCTGACTGCCAATCTGGGATCAAGAAGGAATTTGTTTACTAGTTTGTTGCAAAATTGGAAGTGGTTAATTTTTTGTTTTTGTTTTGCCTTCTTTTGGATCAACTGTAATATACCAATATTAGAGGCTGAACTTGATGGACACATTTTTCTTTTGCCTATGTAATTGTCCATTGGGCAACCCCAAAGGAGCTTATCCATGATCTGCAGCTTTTACAGCTGACCTCACTCTGTCTATCATTCTGAGTTGCTAGATGCTTTCTTGCATGTGTAGTAATAGACAGTACATGAAAAGTTCTGTGCTGCAGAATTCCTGAGTGGTGGCTGACTTTATTTCCGTCTTGTAGCATTTAAATTCTACATGCTACAGGGAAATGCTCTTCATGTTCTGCCTTCCACTATGTACAGTTGACATGGAGGATATGACCAAAGTGCTCACCACCCATGTGGATGTCTGTCCTGTTACTTACCATACTTCCCCTTAACAATATCGTCCGAACTTACTGGCACATTCAGTTCCTACAACAGACATCCTATCTTCTGTGAAAGTGCGTTGTATCTTATGAAAAATTCTCTATTAAATGTCTGATATTTCACCAAAGTGCTGACATGCCTGAGTCAGGACTTTCCATGTAAGTCAAATGTTGTGTAACCTCTGATAGCCTTAGGCTGTTTGATGCCTTGAAAGTAATATTTGTGTTCTGACTTCATGGTGAAGGGTGGAGTCTGCAATTCTATATTTCATAACTCCCTTTATAGTAACTTGTAAAATGAGCGTGAACCAATGCTCTCTCATATATTGCTTCTTTTCTTCAAATTAACATTGTGTGCAGCCTTCTAAGAATTAAGGACATCTGAGTAGTTTGTGTAAATGTAACAGACTGCTGCATGGTCCTAATGGTTCAAATAGAAAGCCGATTGTCCAGAACAAACCTACAAGAAATTGGTACTGTTTTGTACCCTCAAGACTTTTATCAAGGGTTTGATAAAGGCCTTGAGGAGAAAAAAATATCACCAATTTACTTGCGCATCTTAATACAGGATTATAATTATTGAATGTTTGTATTGGGAAAATCATTTTCTATTTGATAATACATGTGACTACTGTTTAGGATGGTGTCTGTGCACCCTGGGGGTTTCCCTGTGTCCTTCGTCTAGCTTTATATGGCTTAGTGTTTAAAGGAACACTCTAAGCATATAAAGCACTTGCACAATCTGTTTAATTTTGAATGTGAAGTTTCACAGCAAAGGGAGTTGTGGCTAAGACTACAAAATGTGACACATTAAAGTGATTTAACTCCTAAATGGCAGATAATTGGGCAGCAATATGATCTGTAAACCAAAAAACTGCTTCATTAAGCAAAAGTTGTTTTGATTCCTATAATGTCCCCTTAACGCCGTTACGGCATTCTATGCCGTTGCAGCTTTAAAGGGCTTTAAAGCCGTTGTGGCGGCATAAAACGCCGTAACAGCTTTGAGCCCCAGGGATCACAGCTACTTACCTCCGCTGCGATCCTCTTCTGGAGGGCTGCCTGACAGCCCAGGCAGCCCTCCCCCGGCGAATGAGGCCCCCGGGGGCCATGTGATCGCTCTCAAAGAGCGATCACATGGCCCCCTATAGCTGGCTGTGGATCTGCCAGCAGGGGGACTGTCTGAAAAATCAGACAGTCCCCCTGCTGGTGGAAAGTGTAAAAAAAAAAAAAAACTGCACTTTTATGGACTATTATTGTTGTAATATATTTTACTGTTTTAAAACACTAATATTTGTGTTTAGTGAAGTCTCCCGAGAATAACAATACCCCCCATGTACAGGTTTTATTGTGTTTTGGAAAGTTAGAGAGTCACATATAAGGCTTGCATTTCATTTTTTTGACATTGAAATTTGCCAGATTGGTTATGTTGCCTTTGAGACCGTATGGTAGCCCAGGAATAAGAATTACCCCCATGATGGCATATCATTTGCAAAAGTAGACAACCCAAGGTATTGCAAATGGGGTATGTCCAGTCATTTTTAGTAGCCACTTAGTCACAAACACTGGCCAAATATTAGTTTTGCTTTTTTTCACACAAAAACAAATATGAACGCTAACTTTGGCCAGTGTTTGTAACTAAGAGGCTACTAAAAAAGACTAAACATACCCCACGTTCAATACCTTGGGTTGTCTACTTTTTCAAATGGTATGCCATTATGGAGGTAATTCTCATTCCTGGGCTACCACACCGTCTCAAAGGTAACATTACTAATCTGGCAAATTTCAATTTGAAAATGGAACGTTCTATATTTGACCCTGTAACTTTCCAAAACACCATAAAACCTGTTAATGGGGGTACTGTTTTACTCGTGAGACAACGCTGATTACAAATATGGGCATTTTTTTGCAGTAATACTTAAAAGTATTATGACATTTACAGCTAAAATGTGAGGTGGAACGACATATTTTTTAAAAAATTTAACATTTTTCTGTTTTTTTAAATTTTATTCATAATAAATTATGTTTCATATATAAATATTTGATATGAAATGAAAGCCCTGTTTCTCCTGAACAAAATGAAGCTGTGTGTTTTTTTTTTTGTTTGTTTTTTTTAGAACTATTGCATCCTTTATGTGTGTGTAATAAAAATATATATAATACAATTTTAAGTAACAGTGCCATCTTGTGGAGTAAAATGGAGTACTGGACTTGCTTGATGTATCAGGAGTAGGCTGAGCTTCATTCGCCTGGTCTTGAAACAATTCAGTTTTCAGTTATCCCATTTGAACCAGCTCTGTAGTATTGCCTAATTTACCTGAAATTTGATAAATTTGCCTTCCAATGCAAATCTCATCAGTATCCCTGTTAAAATATAATGCAACCTTTTTATCCATTCCATTTCTTCGAGAAATAAAATGGACGCATAATCATTTGGCAGCTGTGTAAATGTGTATATTGTGAGAACATAATGTTGGTTTGGTTTGTATCCTTCCACATGACTTATCTATACATGTTTATTACGGTTACAGAGCCACTATTCTTTTGAGAAAGCATCTGCAGCTCTTGGCATTGGAACAGAGAATGTGATTGCTGTGAAGGGTGATGAAAGGTAAGCTTTTAAATAGCCATTGTTAAATACAAACCTTTTTCCCAACCCAACAAAGCCACCAAGTAGAAAACCAAACTAGAAGTGTTTTGTTGCCAAATCCTACTCTATGTATTTTTTTTTTTTCCCTTCACTTTAAAAGGAGAGGTTAACCCCATCATATATCACTATTAATATGCATGAACAATGTCCGGGTGCATGACTTAAAAATGTTGCGTTTTACAAAGAGCAAATTGTCAAACCAGCATATGCTGGAATACTTTGGCCTTGTTTACCTGCCAAGCTAAAATGTATCTGCTATTATCTTTGAATCTCCTTGGGGTTACAAAGTCAAACTCACTCTTACTGCATGCTTTATTTACAAAAAAAGCTGAAAGATGCTACATGGATCTGTAGGTTTATTTATTTTTTTTCTTTATTTTTGTCACTTGACAAACTCTGTTTGGTAAATGAATGCACTACCTGTAACCTATTCAGCCTCACCTTGCGGCATTTGCGCCCGGTGGCCGTGCGTCTGTGTACCTGACTCCTGCAACATGTTGATGGACGCCGGCCCCTGCAGATCCATGCCAAATTCTAGCCCCACGTTGATGACTATATCGCCGTGCGTGTGATGTCACGCGGCAGACGCTCACGTTCTGAGGTCAAAGGTCGATAATTTTTTTTTTCCCGGCCAGTCAGAGCTAAAATAAGCTTATTTAAACTCCTTATGCCTTTTTTCATCATTACCCTGTCGTGGTTTCCCTAGTGGTTGTCCGGGAGTATGTTTCTGAGCGTATAGTTCTGGTTATTGACTTTGGCTTCGTATTGACTTCCCTGTATCCTGGTATCCCTGACTTCTGGCTTTCCCTAATCGTTTGAAATAATGAAAAAGTGGAAAACACCCAGAATACGTGTAGGTTACTATATAAAATATATAACAACCTGATGGAAAGTGAAATCCGTATGAATTCTGTATAAAAATCAGAAATTTGACATAGCGTGATACAGTTAAGTAATTCAACTTTATGAATAAAAATGATTATAGATGCACTCACAAACGCGCGTGAAATAGAGCTTCTCGCCCACCCAGGGGCAGTATGTAATCCGATGGATGAATTAGAGAATTACCTCATGGGATATATAAAAATAAAGGAAAAAACAGAATAGTGAAGTTTGTTATAAAAAGTACAAAATCACATTTATTGGTCACACTTACATGTGTGTAAATCACAAAGAGCGTATCTCTCAATAACTTGGAACTCCATGCAATGTTGTTATCAATCCAGGAATAGGGATGAACAGGAGTAGTTATAAATGAGTAGCCAAAAATACAAATAAAACAATTAAAACAATATAAAATAAGTCCAATATAGAAATCCAACGCGTTTCGTCCTGTAGGGTGTAGGACTTCATCACCCCTGATGAAGTCCTACACCCTACAGGACGAAACGCGTTGGATTTCTATATTGGACTTATTTTATATTGTTTTAATTGTTTTATTTGTATTTTTGGCTACTCATTTATAACTACTCCTGTTCATCCCTATTCCTGGATTGATAACAACATTGCATGGAGTTCCAAGTTATTGAGAGATACGCTCTTTGTGATTTACACACATGTAAGTGTGACCAATAAATGTGATTTTGTACTTTTTATAACAAACTTCACTATTCTGTTTTTTCCTTTATTTTTATATATCCCATGAGGTAATTCTCTAATTCATCCATCGGATTACATACTGCCCCTGGGTGGGCGAGAAGCTCTATTTCACGCGCGTTTGTGAGTGCATCTATAATCATTTTTATTCATAAAGTTGAATTACTTAACTGTATCACGCTATGTCAAATTTCTGATTTTTATACAGAATTCATACGGATTTCACTTTCCATCAGGTTGTTATATATTTTATATAGTAACCTACACGTATTCTGGGTGTTTTCCACTTTTTCATTATTTCACATTATTTCTTGGGTGTCTGTGAGGTACACCTAGGAATTCTTCCAGTTATACGTTTTATTTTGTAGTGTATATACTATTTTCTGTTTCCCTAATCGTTGTCTCTTTCTGTATCCCCGACCTCGGCTAGTATTCTGACTATTCTCTGGTACCTTTTGGTCCGGCCATTATAAGGCCCGGTAAGACGTTACCTTTTAGTCCTAGGTGTGACACAATTCTACGTGCTGGATCAAATAGTAATACTGACACTACTATACATGGGCATTAACTTCTTGGAAAATATCATGGTCTGCAGGATCTATCAGACCTAACCCTTAAACTCTTATACAGATTGCTATATAGCAATATCTATATGCACTGGTGATCTATTTTGTCATAAAGGATACATACAATGCTCCTGACAACAAGCCAATAAATCTTTACACTATATGATCTGATTCTTTACACTTTTAATCCTTTCTCTGTAGTTAGATTAGAGACATGGGAGTTCAATTGGCAAATTTGATTAAATTATGATATCCTTTAATAGATTCCAAAATAAATTTACCTTATCGTTGTAATGTTTATCACAAATGTATCTCATTAATATATGCATGTTATTTTAATAATTGTTTTTTATTTTGGTCAGGGGGAAGATGATTCCATCTGATTTGGAGGCAAAAATACTAAAGGCTAAAGCAGAGGTTAGTGGACTTTGTGGTGTGTGTGTGTGTGTGTGGTGTGTTTTTTTTTTTTTGTTTTTTGTTTTTTTTTGTGTTTTTTTTAATACTGATTTTTGTATCACTGGCGGTTCTAGTGGGGAGTGAACTCTAGCCTGGGCTAGCGTTCACTCTCACAAGAACTGAGCGTGCCATGGTAACTGCGGCACCGCTCCAGGCTCGCGAAAGGGGGACCCAGGGAAGCTGCAAGCTAGAGCTCCCGGGTCTCCTCTCCCTCCCATGCCAGCAGACTGGTGAGGGAGATCTCTGATCTCCCCTCTGGTCCATGAAGGCACACGCCACTTTTGTATACTGATTTTGTATGTCCAAGGTAATAACTGAAATGGTGGTTGTGATTTAAGAAAATAAATAAATTTATATTTAAAAAAGAAAAGAGAATTTTCTTCCTCCCTGGGGGTGGGGGGGCATTTATTTAATATGCACTGGAACGGACTGATTGTGATAAATGTCACATCCTTTGTATTTAAAGATGGGATAACCCAGGTGTGAAAGACTGAGTACGTGGATGCCATGGCCATATTATCAATCTGCTGTTACTTATATTTAGCACCTAAATGCAGTCTCCATTCAGTCTAAGCTTGACAGGAGATCCGGCATCATATGAACTTTCCCACTACAAGGAGAAAGTGGACTATACCACATCAGACTTTTTTTTTTTTTTTGCTCCTTTTGCCCATCAATGCCTGTTGAAGGGTGTAATATCCACATTCTTTCAATCTGGCAGAGTTTATCGTTTGGTTATGAGGAACCTAATGACCTTTTTAGAAATGCAGTTAATCATAACTAGGTTTTATTTAATTTAATACCCCCACCCATTCTTCTTTATCAGTTTCAAATATTACAACATCTGGAATAACTGGACTAAGAATGTTTCAAACTGTAAATTTGCTTTTCCAAGCACATTAATTTAATGTATGAAGCGGATTTTTGTGCATCATGCTCTTATGGAGTTATTTCGTAAAGTGAGAAGGGTCAGGAAATCCTAGTGAAATTTAAATTTTAAGGCCAATGTAGCCAATCTGGAAACCTAGCTTAAAACTTAAATTTGAAAATCACTTTGAATTCCTGGCAATTCTCACTTTAGTAAATAAACTTGTTAAAATGTGACTTTGTGTAAAATATACTGTGTGTGTTTGTGTATAATTTAAAAAAACAAAACTTCTCTCTAATATTACTCCTGTTATTCTCAGGGATTTGTTCCATTTTATGTCAGTGCCACTGCTGGGACAACTGTATATGGAGCGTTTGATCCTATAGAAGACATTGCCGACATTTGTGAGAAGCACAATCTCTGGATGCATGTTGATGTAAGACAAATGTTTGCGCTTTTCAACTCCTATGTCTGTTCAGTCAAGATTAAAGTTCATGATAATGCAGTAAAGTGTGTATTTTATTTTCCAAAAAAACCTACATAACACCCACTTAAGTCCTATCCTGGTCAGTTGAAGTCAGTGTTGCAGAAATGATGCTTAATGTATTCTAGTCTCTTGAATGGGGAAATGGGCTACATTAGCGTATTGAATGAGCAAAGTGCCCCGAGATTTAGCACCCTCCACTTCTCATCTCGAAGCGACGAGCCAGTAATACTGGAAAGACCAGTCCAACTTCTCCCTGGGGTCTTCAATGGCACAGTGAGCATTCTAAGAACCATCCGACTAGCTTTAGCTCACAGTCCAGTAGTCGCCTGCAACTTCACATCCAAGTCCCAGCTGAATCCAAACAGAGCCTCCAAAATGTCTCTTCCCTTGCCGGCCACTCATCAGAGTTTGGTGGTATACAGCCTATAAACTACCTGTCAGTTAGAGATCTCCTCATTCCGATTCTGCAGGGCTCGCAAGGGGGGCACTCTCTCAAGGATTATGCGCTCCAGCACTAACTTAATCCACCAGTTCAGAGACAGGGCATCTGTATCCAGGGCTATAAATAAATAGCAGAGTTCAATAGTCTTAAATACTTTTAATTTATACGTTCTTTTTTTATTTGATAGGCTGCATGGGGTGGTGGATTACTGCTGTCAAAAAAGCACTGCTTTAAACTGAATGGCATTAAAAGGTAAGTTAGACATAATAATGAAAACCTAATAACCTTTTATAGAGATTACTTTTTTATTGTTGCTGTTTTTGTATTGTAGGGCAAACTCTGTTACATGGAATCCTCATAAAATGATGGGTGTTCCCCTGCAGTGTTCTGCAGTCCTCACACGGGAAAAGGTAAACTACTAGCATGTGTACTGTGAAGATTGCAATATTGTCTAACAAACCTAACCAGAAATGCTGCACTAGCAAGCAGTTTGTATTAAAACTTTTTTTGTTTTTGACAGAAGACTTTGTTCTGTTTTTTTTTTTGTTTACCCTGCAACATAATTGTATAACTTATCAATTGGGAAGCAAACTAAGCTAACTGATAATCACATTCAGAGTGCAATTTGCAAAGACCTACTCCATGGGGCTAAGCATTCTCTAATGGCCTGTTGTGTGTGTTTTTTTTTTTGTTTGTTTGTTTTTTTTTTCCCACTGACTGTATAGAAAAGGGGGGAAAAAAAAGTACACTCTGAATTTTATGGTTTTACATATTTGACAATCTTTCTTCTGTTCCTTAGCAGTTCCTAAAATTTGTGGTCTGGACTTTGACTGTGCCATTGCAACACCTTGATTCTTTTCTATTTCAGTCATTTTGTTGTAGATTGGCTCATGTGCTTAAGATCATTGTCTTGTTCCATGAACCAATTTTGGCCAAGCTTTAGCTGTTGGACAGATGGCCTCATGCTTGTCTCTAGAATACTTTGGTGCACATAGGAGTTCGTGGTCTACTCAATGACTGCAAGGCTCCCAGGTCCTGTAGCTGCAAAACAATCCAAAATATCACCCTCTACAACCGTGCTTGACCATTGGTAGGAGGTGTTTGTGCTGATCTGCTATTTGGTTTTCACAAAACACGACCATGTGCATTATAGCCAGACCTCTCCACTTTGGACTCGTCTGTCCAAAGGCTATTGTTCCAGAAGTCTTGTGGTTTGTTCAGATGCAACTTTGCCGTACTGCCATGTTCTTTTTAGAGAGAATGGTAGTCTCCTGGCAACTCTTCCAAACAAACCATACCTGTTCAGTCATTTTCTAATTTTACTGTCATGAACTTTAGCACTTAAAATGCAAACTGAAACCTGTAGAGTCTGAGATGCAACTGTTTGTGTTTTTTGCAATTTCTCTGAGCATTGGGGTGAATTTGCTGAGATAACCATGCCTGGGAAGATTGGCAACAGTCTTGAATGTTTTTTCCACTTCTGAAAAATCTCCCTCTCCCTCTCAGTGATTTCTGTGGGAAAAGCCAAGTGCTTCCTTGGTCAGTGCTGCACATGATGTTCTGCATGGAGACGCAGAACATTATTCATAGATATGCATTGATTCAATGTATCTCTGAGGAGATGCTGACTGGCCAGATTGGTTTTTGGCTCTGCTCCCCACATCCCACTAGCTCCTTGGCTGAGATCATCAGAATTGACCATATCTGCCAATTCTGATGATCTCCGCCAAGGAAGCAGGGCGGAGACAAAGCAAGCGCTGGTCGGCCCGTGTCGCACTGGAATAAAGACAAGATTAAACCCTATTTAATAGGGACTGCCCATCTAATTAGTACTTTTAACACTATAGGGTCGGGTATAGATGTTTGTATTCCTGACCCTATAGTATTCCTTTAAAGTAAAAAATAATAATAATAATAATAATAATAATAAAAATTTTTTTTTTTTTATATATATATATATAATATATAAATTTCTTTACTGAACATAACCTTTTAGGGTTGAATTTTAGATCTTAGAGGTTATCAAATCAAGCTATATTGTCAAGTCACATAATTCCAGAGTCTCTAGAATGCAAAATTAATCGTGAATAACACTATAAATTGTGGGTTGACTATTTTGTACAAAAGTTGGCACACCTCTAAATGGGCCCCATACCAAATGGAGTGAAGCCATAAGATGCTGTATGGGGCCTTTTTAAAAGGTCAAAATCTGGACATTAACAATGCCTGGATTTTGCAGAGACTGCTCCAAATGAGCCTGAATTTCATCTGCACCCAACTATTGGGTTGCTGAAATCCAGACTTGGATTGTTAAAATCTGGGTCTGGATTCAAAACAAATCAGAACGATTTGCCTGCTGGCAGTGCGATCAGCCAAACCTTTAACCCTTAACAGGGCAACTGTTGGCAGAGTGGGTGTAATGGTATTTATTAATTAATGACTTTACATCATAAAGAAAGCATATTTAGTGTAATGCTTTGGGGGCACCACTAGGGGGAGTGTGTAGGAAGACATGTGCTTCTGGCAGTGACATCACAGGCCAGCCTACTTACACTGAATAAAACCAGATGGAGGAGAAAACTCTGTCCCTTTGCCTGTAACTGACTGAACCTAAGATGTAGTACCAGCTCTGACTTAACCCCAGCCAAAGGGCTGGGGCCTTGTAAGTAAATGAATCCATAGTAACATTTAGCAATTGTAATAGCCTTTTGTAAGTAATATGTTGTAGTTTTGTATTGTATCATAATTGTAGTAAATTGACATTCTGCTGGCATCTGTTTATTTGTTATAGTTATATTAAATATACATTTACTATTACAACGTTTTGTGTATTTTCTATCCACATATTCGACCATAATACCATGAATTCTAAAAATATTAATGTTGTTCCGTATTGCTTAATTATTATGTATTAAGAGATTAATATTCATATTTAGGTCACGACCACAACAGTGGTTATATTAATATTCACACGGTGGGTCTCAAAACTTTTTTTTTTTTTTTGGGGGGATTGATTGGTTGTAAAAAGCACTGATGTGTATCCAGCTGTCTGGTGTAGATTTGGTTGGGTTCTACTATTCCAACTGAAATGAGCTGTAGTAAATGAGCATTGCCATTCTCGTTGGAACAGATTTTACATTGACATGCATTTTCCCCTTCCCCACCACATTATCAGTAAAATTATCTTAAAATATTTGTGTGTTTTTGTTTTAGGGTCTTTTGCAGGCATGTAACCAAATGCAAGCTACATATCTGTTCCAGCGTGACAAACACTATAATACAGCTTATGATACAGGAGACAAGACAATCCAGTGTGGAAGACATGTTGACATCTTTAAACTTTGGCTCATGTGGAAGGCAAAGGTAAGAACTTTACACTGTGTATGCATGCGGTGAGCGCATAAGTGATGTAATCTACATCAACCAAATTGCCTTGAAGAAATTTATTAAAAGGACTAAAACATTTTTCTGCAGAAAATCTAAAGTTGGAAATGGAGTTGATGACTTAAACAGAAACTTATGACTTCTAATATTAAACACCGCACATCCCTAATATGAAGCAAGGTTACATGCACAAAAGTATAAAGGCTTGCAGCTTTCCTTTAGCTTAAAGAGATGGGGGATGCTAGGGCTGAAGATTGAATTTCATGCATGTTTACACTTGTCTGAATATCCACATGGTAAAATAAGACCATCATGTGATTAGAGGAAAGACCTAACCATATGTAAAATGTTGTTGGATTTTTTTTTTTTTTTTTCCCCATTTAATTTTAGGGTACAAGTGGCTTTGAACATCAAATAAATGGTTGTCTGGAACTTGCGCTGTATATATACAAAACTCTAAAGACAAAAGAGAACTTTCAACTAGTCTTTCCTGAAGAGGTAACGTTTAGTGAATCCCTTCTTCATAAGTCTACAGATGTAAAGTGGTGGGTGTGCTGTTGTGGAGGGGGAGGGGGGACGGGACGATATATAGTTATATATTTAACTATGGTTCTTCTTTAAAAAGAACATAATCTGTTGGTTGTTGCCTTGCAGAGGCTATGTATAAAGTACTGTTCACTTATGTACAAAGCCTTTGTCCAATGAAGGGAAAACATTACTGCAATAATTATGTAAGGGGTAAGACACATTGTATACTTTTTTACTTATTTGATGTTTTTCCCTTGTGTCTTAGCCTGAACACACCAATGTCTGTTTCTGGTATATTCCACCAAGTTTAAGAGGAATTCTGAAAGATTATGAATGGAAAGCAAAACTGCATAAGGTAAAGTGTGTGGGGAGGGGTGGGTATAATATATATATATTTTTTTTATATATATATATATATATATAATTTTTTTTTTTTTTTTTTCTGAATCCCCAAAGTGGAACATATGTCCTTAAATATAAACCATTAAAAAAAATAAAAATTCATATATATATATATATATATATATATATTTATTATAATTTTTTTTATTATTATTTTTCCCCCCTCTTTCAGGTTGCTCCCATGATTAAAGCACATATGATGGAAGAAGGCGCAGTGATGGTTGGATACCAGCCACTGGGTGACAAACCTAACTTCTTCAGAATGGTATTTTCAAACCCAGCAACTACAAAATCTGATGCAGACTTCCTCTTAGAAGAAATTGAAAAACTTGGGGAAAATATCCAATTTATGTAATCTCTAAATGTATCTCTTGATGTTATATTTTTGTGTACATTGTTTTTAATCTTTATGGTTTTTTTTATTTTATTTATTAAAGTTTTTTTTTTTTTGTAAGGATTTTTTTTTCTGAGAGAATTAGAGCTTGGTCCCCGCAGGTACTAGTAGGGGTGCATAAACTGTGTAACACCATGCACTCAGGCATGTTGCCAGTGGGAGAAACTTCTCCAATATAGGTGAATTAGACCTTTAGCAACATTAGGGATTCTGAACGATTTCATATAATTTTTGGCTTTTTTTAGCATTTTACAGTTTATATTTTTACTTAAATGTCCTTAAAGCACATTTTATGACTTAAGAGGATTTGTAAGTATTCTTTCTTTCCCCAATATCGCCGCTCTTGATCAGGGGCTTCAGTTGTCAAAACTTTTTGCCAAATATATGTTGCTCTGTAGGCTTCCACAGCTCTGCTTGGATTACTATTTTGTGTGTGTATATTTTTTTTTAAATTTTACTCAGTAATACTGTATAGGTTTTTCTAATTATGTAAATATCTACAGATCACTGCATATAGCCATAGGTCTAAAAACATCTAACATAACCAGAACGTTACTGTATATGAAACTGCATGAAATGTTCATGGGATTATGTTAATGTAGGTGCTATAACCTTATTCTTCCCGCGTTCTGATGTTTACATTTTTTTTAATGTCTGAACATTACTTTTATGTAGAGTCTGTATTTAATTGGTAAATGTGGTGTGGAAAATTAAATGTAACTTTATAATAGTACCAAATAAAAGTTGGTTACTTGACTAATCATTTTGAGATGGAAAATAATCTGCTTCTAAGAACTTTGCAAGTTAGAACAGGGGTTCAAAGTTGTATAGCGAGTTGGATACAATGCATATGGCATGTCTGGGTTGGCAAAAACCTGAACGTGTTTTTTTTTTTTTTTTTTAAAGGAACTCCCTTAGTATTAACATGTTTATTTGTAGCATCTTTCCAGAACTCCCTTGTACAATTGCAGAGACCTGGGAAATACCTATTTGCAGGGCAGAGCCCCTCAGCCCTGTCCCTATAATTAACTTCCCTTTGGTATGCAATGGAGCAGAGCATATTTGTATATCCCAGCTATGCACAACCCTTTCATCACTGTGCTCTATGTTACAAGGATTAAAGTAGTGTCACCGCTATCAAATGAATGGCAATGAACTCTGGATGCCAATGCTGAATGGAGTAGAGCCTAAAACGCAACATTGGTAAATATGAACTAAGAAGGCTGTGAAAAATGGTATTTGTTAACCCTTTGTTTAAAAAAAAAAAAAAAAAACTTGGGGCGTGGCTCGACCGCTGATGGAGTAAGTCGCACGCTGCACTCGCTCCCAGGCCCCGACCCGCTCAAGCCCAGACCCTAAGCAGACAGCGCGGTCCTCATGGGGAAATCTAAACGTGCGGGGACCCCGAGGCATCCTCCCTCACCCACCATGAGCCGACAACCCGGTCCCATGGACTAATTCCTGTCCACCCCACAGCACCTCAGAGGCGCACGTGGCGCGGACAAGATGGCACCCTCCTCGCCGAGCACCAGCAGTGTGACAGGCTCCGTGACTGATATGCCTGGCACTGATGCACTGACTCAAATGTCAGTCGACCTGGCTGCAATATCCGCCAACATGCTCACCCGAGGGGACAAAACAGCGCTGGTATCAGAATTGCGCACTGTCATCAGGGAAGAAATTGCCGCGGTACGCAGAGACCTCACGGCACTGGAACAGAGGGTGGATGAATTGGAGGAACACCGCCTCCACGCCACACACCATCAGCAGGCTGCAGATTTGGCAACCGCACGGCAGGGGAACATACTCCTCGAGATGCGCAGACAGGTAGAGGACCTGGACAATAGAGGCCGCCGCAACAACATACGAGTGCGTGGACTCCCCGAGTCCGACGACGAGTCCCCAAGGGAACTACTGACAGGCCTCTTCGTGCAACTTCTCGGTGAGGATGCCCCCCCCTGAAATACCCATGGAACGAGCACACAGAGCACTACGTGGTCCCAGGAGTGATGGGCAACCCAGAGACATGATTTGTTGCCTCACATCGTTCCAACAGAAAGACGCCATTATGAGAGCGGCCAGAGCCCAACGCTCAATTGCCTACATGGACTCCCAGGTAATGCTGTTTCAAGACCTATCGTCCCTCACGCTCGATGCCAGACGGGCACTGAAACCCCTAACGACCATGCTACAAGAAAAACGGATTCCCTATAAGTGGGGCTTTCCGTTCAGCCTGCAAGCCAAGATTGACAACCGCTGGCACACACTACGCTGGCCCAATGACGTCCCCCGATTGCTCCAATCAGCAGGTCTGCCACATGTCCACGTACAGAACTGGATCCTTGAAAATCCGCCTGCTCGCCCGACCGGGCCCTACCCAGTGGCGGAGAACCTGCTGGGAGGACGCGCTGCACCACCACCGCGGCGCAGAGACGGCCCAGAGGAATAGCCACCCGAGGCTCTACAGCTGACCTCCCATATCAGGTACCTGGGGTCACCTCCTAGGCCGACTCGAGCCCCTAGGGGGACACCAAGTAACTGTCACTAGCAAACAGTAGCGCTTGCCCATCCACTCCTGGCCCCCAACGAACTTAGCCCTGGGTGTGATGTGACCTGGGGAGTCGGGACGCTGCTCAATGGAACAGGGACTCATATCACTCTGTAAAGGCTCCTTGGGACTGGGGAAGACACCCTGGGTGGGATGTTGGGGAACACTAGCCACATAGAGAGCCCACGAGAAGGGGGCAACCGAACACGCGGGGCGGGTCATGGAGAAATGGACTGTTTGGGAGGGAGGTATGGGCCGCAAGTTTTAGAAAAATGCGGGCACGTGATACTGCCGTTTTCTGGATGGGTAGCTCACGCATAAGCTACAATAACTGAGACAGCCTGTACTGTGTTCAAGTTATTTTGCTCTTGTATAAGTTTAAGATACACATGTTGGGCCACGGTTTTACCCCTGGCAAAGGTTGCAATGTTAATTTATGCTGTATGACTCTTTCCTCAGACTGCAGACGTATCTCACCAACACATAACAGAGTTCTCCCTTAAGGACCCACGCCTACCCTCCCCCACCACAGACTGACCTGACCTGACACGCAAAAATGCGCTCATGCGCACTCGATTGACTCGGGCCCGCCCGGGACACAGGTGCTGACAACCTACATATTTGCGGAACAGACTCTGTAGGTGGCCCTCCACGCGCCTCACGCAACTGACCTCCCCTGTACATAGGACCTGAGTTCGACGAGACCTCCTGATACTTCAGTCGCCTGAACACCACCAACCGGTTAAGGTTCAAACGTTGCATTGACCCCCTCCCCTATAGATCCCCTCCCTCCGACCGACCGACCAAACCACGAAGGCCAAAATGGGGTTTAGCCCAGCCCTACTCACATACTGGTCCAACAACACTGGGGGCCTTAACCAGCCAGAGAAGCGCACTCACCTACTCCGCCGTCTCTGGGCGGAGAGAGTGTCCGTAGCGTTCCTGCAGGAGACGCACTTTCGGGGCCCAGACGCACCTAAACTAGAAAATAAACGTTTTAGTTTGGCTTACTACGCCAACCACCCAGATGCCAAGAGAGCGGGTGTAGCGATACTGTTTGCACACACTGTACCCTTCAAACATACTGCGACTCACACGGACCCTGGAGGGAGATTTCTCTTTGTCAAAGGCACGATTGCCAACCACACATACACATTTGCTAGCATATACTGCCCCAACCGCGGCCTACACGCCTTTCTCTCCCGCACCCTAACCAAGCTGAACAAATTTAGAGAGGGCCTCCTGATGGTAGCGGGGGACTTGAATATGCCACTAGACCCACACCTGGATACATCCCACGGAACTAGCACAATATCACCACACTGCTTACGGTCCGCCACCAAGGCACTGAACAGACTGGGCCTTGTAGACTGTTGGAGAACCGCACACCCAGACGACAGGGACTTTACGCACTTTTCCCACGTCCACCACCGCTACAGCCGCATTGATTACATATTTATGCCCCAAGAATACCTTTCCCTACTACACGACGCACATATTGGACTCACGACCCACTCCGACCACACTCCGGTTAAAGTTCGCACAAGCTCACCCCTCTATAAACCTAGGGACAGACAGTGGAAGCTCAACGAAACCCTGCTGAACGACCCGGTTTCCCGCGCATCCGCACTTCAGACGATCACACAATATTTTGACACAAACGACGACCCAGACACACCCCCCCTGACGATCTGGGAAGCACATAAATGTGTCCTGAGAGGCCACTACATTGCCGTCTGCACTCAGCGCAAAAAAGACAGACTCAAGCGCATCACTACCCTCACATCCAAGGTATCCACCTTGGAAGCCACACACAAACAAACGCTAGACAACAACACTTACCTACAACTGACCGAAGCTCGGAGAGAACTTAGGGACCACCTCTCTCAGGGGCTGTTGCACACCCTGGCCAAATCGGCAAGGTACTTCTATGAACACTCCAACAAAAGCGGTCGACTCCTGGCAAAAATGCTCCAGGCACGAAGGAGGGCACAACATATCCATAAGATAAACACGCGGGACCAATGGAGCACTAGACACCAGGAAGGCATACTTGACGCATTTCAGGCCTATTACAAAGACCTCTACAACCAGACACTGACCACGCACGGGACAGCCCAACAGACACACCAACGGAAGGTCTCAGACTACCTAGCCCAACACATAACCAAAACGCTTTCCCAGGAACAATCGGAGGACCTGGAGCAACCCCTAACGCTCGAGGAACTCAAGGGAGCCCTGAAAAGCATGAAACCCCACAGAGCACCCGGCCCAGACGGGCTGCCGCTCTCCTACCTCCGCACTTTTAGCGACATCTTACTGCCCAGGCTCCTGACAGGACTGAACTCGATCCGCGAAGGCGGACGGTTCCCGACAGATACCTTAGCCACCACAATCACAATAATTCCCAAAGACGGTAAGGACCCGACTAATTGCTCGAGCTACCGCCCGATTTCGCTTCTGAATTCGGACCTCAAGCTCTTTGCCAAGGCCCTGGCCCGTAGGATCTCCCCGATCCTTCCGGACCTCATCCACCCTGACCAAGTTGGGTTCATTCCGGGTAGGGAAGCCAGAGACGACACGATACGTGCACTCAACATCATCCACATGACGAAAACCAGGAAACGCGAGACTGTACTACTATCGACGGATGCCGAAAAGGCGTTTGACCGAGTGGATTGGACATATCTCACATCCACTCTCCGCCACCTAAGATTCGGTCCCCAATTATGCAACTGGGTGTCAGCATTGTATACGACGCCGACGGCACGGATCCGCATTAACGGAACCCTCACGCAAGCTTTCCCCATCAGCAATGGCACACGCCAGGGCTGTCCCCTGTCCCCCCTCCTGTTTGCCCTCTCTCTAGAACCATTTCTGGAGGCGGTCAGACAGGACGGGGGCATTACGGGGGTGACGCTGGACGCGGAGGTACACAAGGTGGCAGCGTACGCGGACGACATGCTGTTCTTCCTAGAACAACCCCTCATCTCTATCCCTAATCTCCTCCAGGCATTCCGCGATTACCGCCAAGTCTCTAACCTGAAATTGAATCTAGACAAATCCGAAGCCCTGCCTCTACTAGACGACGCCGGGTTGGCCGAACGCCTGAGCGCTAAGTTTGCCTTCTCATGGCGAACGGCCAAGCTGAGGTACCTGGGCACCTGGTTGCCACGCGACCTC